GAATATATAAGTCAAGATAAATATTTAGCACAAGATGTGTTAGATAAAGTAACTCATAAGCTCATTGGATATGGTAGAAGTACCACGTTCAAATCACCTTCCTTGAAATTTTTTGCAATTCTGACTTAACCATTAGGCTTACAACTTAAAAAAAAAGGAGAGAAGTGAATTCCACATAGGCTAGTCGGTAATTCTGACCTGCTACGGGCGGTCATAGGACCAAAAAACTTTTTTTTTTTTTTCGCCTAGAGGACCATTTCCAAAAATGGACCTTTATTGGGACCAAAAGCAAAAACGGGGTCAGTTAAGGGATAAAAAAACCTATTTTTCCTAATTTTTTTAGTGTTATGCCCTCTAACATGCTCTCGCGTGATTGATCTAGATGCTCCAATTCGCAACAGTAATAACACAAGTTGACGAGCTTTTCATATTTGAAATTCACCTTAACCAGTTGCTCCCCCAATCTTGCACTTGCACACTGAAGTATGTGCAATTTAACATTCAATGTCCCTAGGAGCCTAATGATTCTACCACCTTCTATCCCTCCTACTTTTGAGATTGCAACATTTTTTTACCCCTTTGAACAATTTTCCTATCTTCAGCCCCACCTCCACACTCTGCCAATGTAGAGGTACATTATAAATGTGCACCCACGGTTGCACATTGGCGAAACATGGGTGGCTGCCGCTAATTTGTTATGTCAATTCATGTACAAGGAGAAATCGATTTTTGAATATCCAGTTAGTACCTGCTTTCACTTTCTTCATATCCTCGTCATTTTCAATGATGAATTAAAAGAAGTTTGTCCCTAGCTCATGGATCTCCACTACGTTTTGGATTCTCCAGATTTTCCCGAATGTTCTCATTAGACTGAACAAACATGCCTTTTTTGTCTCTAATAATCTTACCAAAAAGGTTTCTTCGACATTCTTCTTCACTGATTTTGATGTCGTCTAAGACACTTTCCACTATCTATCTCTCCGTCGTGGGTAATGAAAACTTCTTCAATCATTTCGCCAGTTCATCATCCTCTCCTTCTTACTCCAAAAAGCCTTGGGTATTAGCCTCCATAATTACTCTGAAGACCCCAATCAATGAGGAAGGCCCCCAATGAAGGCGAAATGAAGGAAATCTCACCGAGAAAGTTAGCGTTCTCACCCGAGAGAAATGAGAGCTCTCAGGAGAGAGAATTATTGCTACTTAAACCCCTTTTTAAGTGCTAGTTCCTTCTAAAACATCGTCGTGTTCCAATTACATTACTTCATGCAGAAGTTTCTCGTGTTTGGTATTTTAATAGAATCTTTCTTTTCTGACTTTGTTTCAAAAGGAGAATGCCTCAGAGGTGCAGCTGGTGGAGAAAGCTCGAGTGGAATGGTTATAAAATGAAGGCTAGGGGAAGTAATGGATCACAACAGCCAGGCAGAGGGCCCATTAAGGAATCTGGAGATAGTAAGAAATAGGGAAATAAGGGAGCAGGCAACTGCTACCAGTACTACTGCAGTTTTTGAAAACCATACAAGACTCAGGGGGCTGGCAAAAATTGGAGGAGCTACAGCGGAAAGATGGGAGTTTGGCTTAGAGGAGGAGTGTAAAATCTCTATGGATGAAGAGATCTTGTCATTCAGAAGGTGGTTACTACAAGGTGTGCTCTTTAGGGCTGACAACAAGTGTCTTTTTATCTTCAAAATGGTGATCTATGTAAAGCCCTTAATTCTGATGCATTATTGCCTACTTCCCTCTATGTTGTTGTTGAAGATATTTGGGATGTAGGAGCTTCCTTCGGTTCTTGTTCTTTTTTGTCTCCGGATTGTAGTTTGGTGTTGTGTAAGTGTGTTTGTGTGTTTTTATTCTCTTGTTTCTATGTCGTGTTAGTTTGTTGGGGTGACCGATGTGGTCTTGTACAGGTAATCTGATGTTTCTCCCCGGTTTCCGCTCTCTTGTAAGGCTTTATTGCTCAAGGGGCGGATTTGTATCCCGTTGATTATCTGATGTTGTTTCTTTTCGAGTTAATTAATAGACTTTATGGTTTGAAAAAAAAAAAGACTTTGCTTTCTTATTTTTTATTTGGTAATAATATATATATTTTTTTTACTAAGAATCCATTCATACAAGCAATTCAGTTTAGCCTTCTCTTATTATTTATTTAGCAAATGATATATATATTTTTGGAGTTTTATCAAGACCAGAAAGATAGATAAACTATCAATGCAAGCTTGAAAGATTTTTTTTTCTCAATTTAAAACTTAATTGTTGTAAAACTATCAAACTAAGACAATTCAATTTGGCCTTCTCTAATGTTAATCTAGAATATCAAGACCATACTCACGTTTATTTATAGTTTCCCAGGTCAACTACTTATTCCCCAAGTCTCCACCAAATGCAAGTTGTATAGTCAAACATTACCACAACATTTAATCCCATTTAGACGCCTCCAGACACCAATTTTTTTTCTCATTTCTAATACCATCAAACGCATTTAAAAACCACACATAAGACCAATACATCTCTTTCCATCGTCCCCAATCATAATAAACTTCCCCCTTGTTTGTTCCCATATTCTCATAATTTCATTCTCTCTTCACTTGTCCCAAATTAAGCCCACCCAAAGTCAACAATATTCTCAAGACAAAAGTTCAAAAATCAAGAAAACTAACATGGGCACCCTTATAGGGCATGTGGCGCCAGGATTTGGGTTTTTTATCATTGGACTATGGCATCTAATAAACAACATCAAACTCCACGCTGGTAGCCCCAAATCCTACATATCCTCACCATGGTTCCCAACTTCAAGAATCAAGTATTTGGAGCTCTACTCCATCATGACGGCTTGCTCAATCTCCATATCCATGGAGCTCTTTATCGGACCCGACCGGCACCAACCGCTCGACCCGGATGGGACCATACCCTCTAATCACCTCCACAACTTTGAACACTCGAATATTTCTCTCGCCTTTTTCATGTATGCTTTTTTCTCCATCTTATTAGACAAACTGGCCCTGCCCGCTCGGTATGAGTTGACCAACTTGCTAGGGGCGGTGGCTTTCGGTCACCAATTCCTACTCTTCCACCTCCACTCGGCCGATCACATGGGGGTCGAGGGTCAATACCATTGGCTACTCCAAATCGCTATCTTTATATCACTTGAGACGACAATATTAGGCATCAATTGTCCCACGAGCTTTTTGAATAGCTTCGTGAGGTCAGTTAGTATAGTCTTTCAGGGTGTTTGGTTTATTGTGATGGGGTTCATGTTGTGGACGCCTAGCTTAATTCCCAAGGGCTGCTTCATGAACATCGAGGAGGGACACAAAGTGGTCCGATGCCACGGGGAGGAGGCCTTACATCGTGCTAAATCTCTTGTCAATATCCAATTCAGTTGGTACGTTATAGGAGTGATGTTTTTCTCCTTGGCATGTTATGTGGTCATGGCCAAGTTATATTCGGAAAAGGTCGTCGAGTATCAGCCTATATCGAAATTCATGTTGGAAGAAGAGGAAAACGATGACCGTTTTCGTGATGTCGAGGAGCAAAAGAAGGGCAACGACAGGAAGAAAGAGGAGCCAATGAGTTTTCTGCAAATTGGGAAACCAATTACTTCTATGGATATTGAAAGGTAGACTAAATTGGAAAGATTAAAATTTGGGTTATATGATTAGGTATGTATAAAAGTCTTAAGGTCGTCAATGTAATAGGTGTACCTATTGTTTATTTTCACGTTTAATAAGCCAAACAAGAATTTTGGCTTGGTGAATTAATTTCTATTTGATATCAAGTGGTAGAAACAAAAGAAAAAAAAAGACGTTGCTATTTGTTGTTGCATTCAATTACTATTTGTTGTCCAAAAAAAAAAAAAAAAAAAAAAAAAAAAGAAAAAAGAAAAAGAAAAAATATAATTGAAAATACATTTTTGTCCTTATAAAAATATTTTACCCATTTTTATAAAAGTTGTTATTTGTTGCCCCTAAATGGATCCACTTTTACCAAATGACATCTATTCACTATTCTTTTTTCTTTTTTTATTTTTTTTTTCCAAACGATAGAGATACTCGTAACAATAAATAAAAGTCTTACAACCGAAAGGCCAACTAACCTTAAAGCAAGTACAAGAAGAACCACTCCCACGGTGGCCTAGAACATAAACTAACACCAAAGGCAAATATAATGATTTGAGCCCTTTGGAGTACAAACAACCAAACCAAAATAGACAACACAAAACAAAAACACAAAACCCAAACAACAAGAAAATAGCTAGGACCATTGAACCGAAGAATCTAGTCCTACCTATAAAACAAAATTATTAACCTCCCAGATCGATGAACTCCCTCCACTCGTTCACAGCTTCCTTCAATATCACCTGCTCTGCCATCCAGACTTTTTGAACACCCAAAGGTTCCGTGTCTTGCACAGCCACCATAATATATAAGTCGACAATTGGATTCGGGCTTCAGACACAGCTGATCTTTCCAAATTAGAAATCCACCACCATCAGCTCCTAAAATCTTGGTTTTCTGCTTGTGGCATATCCCAAGATATAGGTGCATGTTTCCAGACAGTAATAGCTCGAGAACACTCAAAGAAAAGATGCCAAATAGTCTCAGCTTTCTCTCCATAGGCAGGACAAACCCATTCCACATTAACACCTCTATGGATTAGATTATCTCTTGTAGTAAGGGTGTTAGAAATACCTTTCCATAAGAAATGCCTCAACTTCATCTTCACTCTAAGCTTCCAGCATATGAGCCTTGCATCTATATCTTTTGTCCCAGCACTGCTACTTTGAGCAATCCAATCCCAACACCTTCTTCACCATAGCTTTTGAGTAGGCAGAAGAAACAGAGAAAATACCTTTCTCATCCCCAGTCCAAGACTTTCTATCTCTTTGTGCAGGATCAAGATCATTTATGTTCAGAATAACTTCAGCAGATTCAGGCATGAATAATCTTCTAACTACCTGGGCATCCCAACTTCTGCCCCCTCCTCAAAATGATCAGCTACCCTCAATGAGTTGGAAATCTGAACATCTGTAGCTAGGACAATGATGTGTCTCTTTCCAGATCCGGGGCGATCTGATGAGAATGGGCTCAGATCTGGAGCGAACCGATGAGGGTGAACTCAGATCCGACTTGACGGCTTCTAAACTGCTACCGGACCGCGGGGACACCTGCAAGAACTCAACGCCGGAGGGGTTTCCGGCGTAGAGCCTCCGACGCTCAAGTCAGTATGTGAACAGAATGAGGAACTGCTCTGAGGAAGCAGCAGCAATGGAGGAGAATGTGGAGTGAATGAGAGTTAGGGTTTTAGGGCTACCTCTTCTCCCTTTTATAGGAGGGAAATTACCTGATATACCCGAAATGCCCTAGGTCGGTGGTCCTGAGAGGTCCAAATTGCCCTGGCCGATTCGTCTTCTCCTCTTGCCGAGTCACCTTCTAGATTCTTCTTATCCCTTTTAAGTACCAGTAGGTTCATGAGGAACGTTATGTGGGGTCATCGTCGTGTCGTAGGTCGACATGTGAGGAGTCGACCCCGAACAAGGATAATTCCCTCTAGATTCTGATCGTAGTTAGAGCATACTGATCTTATCGCGGTCGACTTCGCCAGGTCGACTTGAGTACAGTCGACCTCGGAGTATCTGTGGGGTGTTATTAGTTCTTAGCTTGCTGTAGGTCGATTCTGCAAAGATTATTCTGAACACCTTAATGAGCCGACGTCGAGGTATTTGTCAGTTCCTAGTTTTAGGGTTAAGGCCCTCGAGCCAACCTGTTCATTATGGCTATATCAGACAGGAATACCATTAGAAAGAATTGGTACCCAAGGCTCAGAAAATACCTTAGTATTGATCCCAACCTTAATCTCTCTCACAAAGCAAGACTTATGAATGGATAACACTTTGCACCAACAACTCCAAACCCAAGAAGAAGACCCTGAGACTTTAGAATCCAGAACATTACCAAAAGGAAAATACCTATCTCTCAGAACTTTAGTCATAAGCAGATTAGGCTTTGTAAGTAGCCTCCAGATCTGTTTCAAGATTAAAGCATCATTAAACAACCTAATATCTTGGAAACCCAAGCCACCAGCCTCTTTAGAGGTGGTCACTTTGTTTCAGGCCATCCAATGGATCCCTTTCCCTTGATCAGACCCCTTAGACCCCCAAAAAGCAGCACAGAGTTGAGAGATTTGCTTACACACACCCACAGGCAGGGAAAAACAAGACATGACAAATATTGGCAGGGAGTTAATAACAGCTTTCAGAAGCACTTCCTTCCCAGCTGCGGAAAGAAACTTATTCTTCCAGCTGACAAGCCTTTTTTTCACAGCAGAAACAACAAACTCAAACACCTCAATCTTAGACTTGTCTATCCCTAATGGAAGACCAAGGTATCTATAAGAAGAGCACACTTCTATACCATCCAAAAGCAGGAAGATTTCAGCTTTTAATTGAAATGAAGCATTTCTGCTAAAAAATACTGATAACTTTTTAAAATTCACTTTTTGACCACTAAACCTCTCATATTTCCACAGAATATTCAACAAACAAGAGGCATTTTGAACATCATCAACACAGAACAACAAAGAATCATCAGCAAATAATAAGTGAATTAATTTAGTGCCTCCTCTAGAAACAGAAATCCCTTTATCTCACCCCTACCATTAGCATGAAGGATCAATTTTGATAAAATTTCAGTCACCAGAATGAAAAGGTAAGGAGAAATAGGATCTCCTTGCCTCAACCCTCTTGAGGGAGTGACAAAGCCAGAAACTCTACCATTCACATTAAAAGAATACACTTAGGAAGAGATACGAGCAAAAATCCACTTAACAAAGGTTGAATGGAATCCCATCTGTAACAATAATTTCACCACACAGTTCCACTCGACTCTGTCATAAGCTTTCATCATGTCAAGCTTTACAGCCATAAAACACTTATTACCATGTTTGTGTCTATTAAGATAATGAATAACCTCATGTGCCAACACCATATTATCCATGAGTTGTCTATCAGGAATGAAGGCAGACTGACTTTCACACACACAAAACTTCAGACAATCCTTAAGTCTAGCAGATAACATCTTGGAAATGATTTTATGAGAAACACTGCAAAGACTTATAGGACGAAAATGATTCAAAGATGTAGGATTCATACATTTTGGAATCAATGTGATGACAATGTGATTCCAGCTCTTCAATAACATCCCAGACTCAAAGAAACTAAATATAGCCGAGCATAGGTCATCTTTAATGATTTGCCAAAAGTGTTGGAAGAAAAGAGATGTCATACCATCTTTTCCTGGAGCCGTGTCAGGGTTCAAAGAGAACTATACAGCTTTCACTTCTTCTTCATCCGCAGGAGCAATTAAGTTGGCATTGAGATCCACTGTAATTGTTCTGGGAACTAAGCTCAAGATTTCTGCTTCCCCCTCAGAGCCTTCACTAGTAAACAACATCTGGTAGAAATTTGCTATACAATCTTCAATCTGTTCTTCAGAAGTGACCACTCTATTATTCTGATCCACCAGTCTAGAAATTGCATTCATCTTTCTTCTCTGCATGGTAAGGGCATGAAAAAAATTTAGTGTTCTTGTCCCCTTCTTTGATCCATTGAACCCTAGCTTTCTGATGCCAGAATTCTTTTTCAGCCATATGAGCTTGGTCCAACTCCTTCTTCAATTTCTCCCATTCAGTCCAGTTTCTCTGTCCCCCCCAATCTTCTCATTTCCTCCAAACTCAAAGATAGTTTTTCAATAACTTCGGCATTATTAGACCTCAGGGCCTTGCTCCACTTGATCAGAGCCATTCTTGTCTTCTTCAGCTTTTTCTTAAATTTAAACTTTGGAGTCCCCTGTTTCCCTGTTAGAGGTATGCTGTAAAAGCTGTGTTTTGCAGTTTCTATCAATTCCATTT